AAATGACTTTTAAGGTCCTAAATTCAGGAATAATGTTTCTATTAACCAATTTATAACATGTACAGTTATACTGATATTACCCTGTGCAAAGCTGATACAGTTTGGAAGGAAGAACCTTTCTTCTTGGTTCCACCTTTGCCCTTCCCACCAGATTCAGCTGTAAGATACAGTTGTTATTTGTGGGAAAGTGGGCAGGGGAGGGTTGGGCCAGTAGCTTATTACATGATGCTTTAATAATCACTTGTAAACTAAGATGCTAGTAATTTTTTAAAACCTACCTGAGTCAGCTCCTGCATAATTTGCAAAGAGAGTTGCAAGCAGTTTGACGGTCGACTTTTGGTACAATGCCACAACAGTCTCATTCAGAGGATCCTTGTTCTTCACCAACCAGTTGTTGATATTGTAATCAACAGTTCCAGCGTAGTGAACCAGGGCAAAATGAGCCTCTGGTTTTCCTTTGACAACTCTGGGCTTCTGGAAGTTGCTGGATTTTCCCAGGTGGTTGTCATAGAGCTTAGCTTTAAAGGTGGCATCACTGGCTTTGGGGAACATGCACTCCTCTTCAAGGATGGACATGATACCCATGGGCTAAAGGACAGAAAGTATAAGTGTTTGTTAAGGACTATATTTGCATTAGTTTTAGCTGAACATGTAATTGTACAGTGTTTCACCTTTTCAATCAGGTCGATACAGGCCTGCAGATCCATGCCAAAGTCAATGAAAGTCCATTCGATGCCCTCTTTCTTGTACTCTTCCTGCTCCAGTACAAACATGTGGTGGTTGAAAAACTGTTGCAGTTTTTCGTTGGTGAAGTTGATGCACAGCTGCTCAAAGGTGTTGAACTGTAAATAAAGTGACAACAGTATACTTGTTGTTAATACTAGTGTTTGTTCTGTCTGTGTTATTTCTTTTGTTGTTGTTGTTGTTGTTGTTGTTGAATTGAGGATTCTTACATCAAAGATCTCAAATCCAGCAATGTCAAGCACACCAATGAAGTACTGGCGGGGCTGTTTGGTGTCCAGGGACTGGTTAATCCTCACCACCATCCACAGAAACATCTTCTCATACACTGCTTTAGCCAGTGCACCCATAGCATAGTACACCTAATGCAGAAATCCCCCTGTAGCTTTAGAATTTACAGATAAACCCATAATGTAAACCTTATTCAGCTGTTGATCATCTTATTACCTGCTGTACATTCTGTCCTTTGGTGACCCACTCGTTTCCTACTTTGACTCTTGGGTGACAGAGACCTTTGATGAGGTCAGCAGAGTTCAGGCCCATCAGATAAGCGGATTTGTCCGCATCTGAAGAAAAAACATGCAAATTTAATTCTTTCAATGTAAGCATCAGATACAGACACGTTTAACTTTCAGGCTTTGAAAGAGCTCCTCTCACCTTCTGTGCCATCTGCCTCTGCCTGCTCTTCACGCTGCTTGTTCTTGAATTTCATGTTCCCATAGTGCATGATGGCACCAGTCAGCTTGTAAATGCTATTCTTTTCTTCTTGAGTAAAGCCCAGCACATCAAAGGCATCCTAAATTAGAAAAGGGGTGTTTCTTACTTATTTTTACATAGTATCAGAGTGTACAGTGTAGAGTTACAGGGAAGATCCAGGGATGACATGGTATTTGCTCTCTGAGCCTTCAAAATCCTGCATTAAACTCGGACTGTCATCTGACATCAGATATTTAATCCAGTCTGTTCAAGTTGTATTCGCTCACATTTCATGATTTAATGATACTCGGTTATAAATACTCCTAAAAGAAATATAAAGTTAAAGCTGACATCTGGAGTGAAAGTTTTTTGTGTGTTATTTGAATTTACAGCCTGTCAGGTTTAAATGTAGAACACTCAAAGTATTAATTGAACTAATATGACTTAATAGTGGCGCAGGTGCAGATTATTGTTGCATTTCTACTCACATCAGTGGCCATTAGCTCTTCAGCATCATTGATTGAGGCTACTGTTGTCTCTCCTTGAGAGATGAAGGCATAATCATAAGGGTTGTTGGTGATGAGCAGCATCTCTGAAAAGGAGAACCAAAGTTGGATTTTTCATTTTAGTTCTACAGGAGTGTTGTTGCTGGTTCTCGCAACTCAGGTTTTTATTTACCGAGAAGCTCGGGCTTCCTTTGAGACAAGATCTGATAGAAGATGTGATAATCTCTCTCAGCCTTGAGCTGAAAGGTGACACGGGACTTTTCCAGCAGATCTGTAAACATGTTTGCATTACGTAGGTAGCTGATCATTGCGAACATAGAAATAAATTGGATGAAAGCACAGGAAAGGGACTTACATGTCTCTATGTCAGCAGAGGCCAACTTCCCACTGGCTGCAAAGTGAATTCGGATAAATTTACCCTGCAATGTACGAAGGAAAAAAAACATTAAGAGCCTTGGGCAGTGTCAGAATATTACTGTATACCGGGAGTATTTAGGAACCACATTATACTTTCAGAAGTATGACAACTTCACCAAGCTGTGAAACATGGTAACTGCAGGTAGTGACGGAAGTGTAACTAGTAAAGTGATAAAGGTGAGCCGCCCCACATAGATTTCAATCCTGAAAATCTGGGATAAGGGTAACACTCCAAGCATGAGTTTCATTCTGCCTGATTACTGACTAGTCTAAACTCAAGACAAATAGATACAGTACAAGCCTAAGCATAAAAAAACAATCAAATGAGTTACTGTTATCAACAAAACTTTACAAATCTGGAGGAGTTGTCATTCCTGATGGTTTTGGCATTCCCAAAGGCCTCTAATGCCGGGTTAGCCTGGATGATTTGATCCTCCAGAGTACCCTAAGAAAAAAAAAGCAAAACCTTTATTCAAAACACTTACACTGCAGGAAAAGCTCTACATCCTGTAAATTGAAGATTCAAACCTTCTTCTCAGAGCCTGTATCCTTTTTCCCACTTCCAGCTGCAATGCTGGCAAAGTACTGGATGACTCTCTTGGTGTTGACAGTTTTCCCAGCACCAGATTCTCCACTGAAAACACAAATAGAATGATCAAACAAACAGGACACATTATTCTTCTGGCTGTTCCCTGCACATCAGCTCCAGTATATCCACCATCCCTCCTGTGCACATGTTCAAACCATCTTAGTCTCACCTCTTTAACTTTGTCTCCAAGCTGCTTAGCTTGAGCTGTGCTCATTTCTAATCTCGGCCATCCTGGTCATTCCCAAAGAAAATCTTCGCATTGTCAACTCTGCCACCTAAAGCTATTCACCATACATCATAGCAGGTCCTTTTCATCCATCCTTTTCACTCTTGCTGCAATCCTTCTGTCACAAATCGCCCCTGGCTCTCGTCTCCACCCACCCTGCCTGCACTCTGTTGTTCGCCTCTCCTGTACACAAAAACATTGCTTTGGATGGTTGACCCCAGGTATTTAAATTCATCTGCCTTCGCTATCTCTTCTCCTTGCATGTTCACCTTTCCGCCTGTCTCGCTCTCACTCACCCACACCTCTCCAGACTTTCTTCCAACAGCTCCCACTTTCACTACAGATGACAGTGTTGCCTGCAAATGTTACAGTCAGCCTGTCCCTCACCAAAGCAAGCCAGAATGGACTCAGACCCTATTCCCGTTGCCTCGCCTTGAACTCAAGTAGACAATCCAGTCATCTCTATAATAAGCCACCCTCTCTCACTGTACTTAATTTGTCTATGGCAACAAGTGAAAAGCGCTATATGAGTTCATTAGAATATGCAATACGTATTAACTGTTTTAGAGATATTAGCGACATTTTAAAGCCTTCTTTTGAATTTCTTCCCTATTAAATTAATGAAATGATGCCAACATTAAATCTTTCCAATATACCATACTAAGATCTTCTGTTCAAGGACTTCATTTACATACTAAACTGACAAAGCACCACTTAAGCTAATATTCCTGTGGTTAAGTAGACCATTGAGCATGTCAGCAAAAACTGAAAGGTTTCCAGATGGCACTTAGTACAATTCTCACTGTGTGATTTACTGTAATTACCAAGATCAAACAAACAGAGTCAAAATGAATGACTTACGTGATGAGAATTGACTGATTTTCTCTGTCTGTAAAAGAGCAGGACGTATAAGGACAACTCTTACTACAAAATCTTATTTTAATTTCAACATGCTTCAACAATGGAAGGTAAATTACCAGTTAGCATGTACTGATAGGCATTGTCAGAGATGGAGAAGATATGAGGAGGAGCTTCACTCCTCTTCTTTCCTCTGTAGGCAACGACCACCTCCTGGTTGTAGACTGGCAGCCACTTGTAGGGATTGACAGTCACACAGAACAACCCAGAGTAGGTCTGATAGTTGGTGAAAAGAGAAGAGCAAAGTGTCAAATATGTAGAATTTGTGGGAGGGCAGTTAGTGTGTTGTGCTGTCAGCTCACGTAGATCATCCACGCTGCGTAACGCTCTTTGAGGTTATACAGCACAGCTGGTTCATGGAGGAAGGTGAACATCGCCATGTCTTCAATTTTATCGAACTTTGGCGGGTTCTGAGGGTGCACATCGCACTCCTTCACTGTGACGGTCTGCAAAAAAGGACACAGTAGGTCTTAATATGGACTTATTTCCAAAATATTGTAGGAAGGAGATCTATCAATCTAGGATGAATTATGCCAAACAGTTTGAGAGGAAAAGAAGAAAAGCACAAAACGAAGAAAAGCATGTATAACCCAGTTAAGTCGGTTTGGTGAACAGGAGTACACTGGAGGACTGCTGTACCTTTGACAGACATAATTAATTATGGCTATCCACTTTAATGTGACAATACAAAAATTGGCTTGTTAAAAAGGTTGCAAAAGTACCCATTCATTACATAAATGCACTCATGGTTGGACTGGCTCTTGTTGTTGACTCAAAGCTTTATCCGTTTCATGTCTTAGAGTTAACCAGCTAGTCTGGAAGTTCTTAATGCAGATCCTCGCAGCTGCAAGGCTACAGTGTGAACTTGTTGGAGTCATATAAATCCACTTTGCATAAGAACCTTAACATTTAAGGAAAAAATAAATATTTTACATATTTTCTTTGTGTGTGTGTGTTTTAGCCAAACAGAGGCTGTAAAATAGTAAATTTCTTATATAACACTTTTCTACTTCAGCATTCAAAGCCTCATTCACCGATTAATACAAGCACTTTTTCTACACCCAAGAAAAATCTAACTTTCACACACATCCATACTCCTGTGAACACATCAGAGAGCAGCTTGGCGTTCAGTATGCCCAAGGATATTTAGGCATGCATACTGGAGACTGGAGCAGCCAGGGACCAAAAGCCAACCTTCCAATTAGTAGATGACCTGCCCTACCTCCTGAGCTACAGCCACTGTATGCTGAAATTGCATCTCAAAATATAGAAGAAATTATGTAAAGCTGTACCTTTTACTACTTGGTCCTAAAAATGGTACACATAATTACCTTGAGGTGTCAAAGTTTATCCTAAGTGGAAAAAGGTTGATTGAAATATATTTTTATTGTACTCTTGCTTCTGAGTGTGTTTGACAAAATAAACAAAATTCAGCTGTTGAGCTCAGCTGTGTCGTGGAGAAAAAGACTGTTCTGGTTGTATCTATACTACATTTGTTAGAGGAAAAATAAGTTCACACCATTTTGGTCTTAGTTAGGAAACCAGCTGTATAAAGAGCAGCTGTGCCAACAAATCACTCACCTTCCCTTTCTCAGTCTGAGCAGTGACTTTGTCCCCATCACGGCTGGTGATCGAAGCCTTCACATATTCATCACTGGGGTCAGGAACAAAACACTCCTTCTTCATGTCAAACGGGCGAGTCTGGGCCTCCAGACGCTCCCTGTCTGACTTCCTCAGGTAAGGGGCCGCTGCCCCAAATTCTTTCATGGCAGCATCACCCATTTTTCACCTTGTGTACAACAAAAAGGGACAAATTACTTATGCTGCAGATAAAGATTTTTCTTTTCCTAAATTTTTTACATAACGTAATATTTCCATTTTTCTCCAGTGTCCATTTGGACACACGCTTACCTTTATCCTTACTGAGAAGACTGAGGTGTACTGGTCCTGAGGAAAGATATAATGGAAAATGGTGAGACTGGTCTGCGGCACAGATAAGCCCATAGCATCAAGATCTAATTTCTCTGTTTGTGAGCACCCGTCCTCATGCCTTACCTTGAGATAGAACGGTGACCTATTGGAGTTTCACCATGAGCTCTCCTTATAAGCAAAGCCCCTCTGCCAAATATGGAGGAGCGCTTTAAGGCCCAGGAATGTTTTTGTGTCTGGTTGGGCTGGGAGTTAGTGAAGGGAGGTGGTTAATGAGTGGTGGAGGGTAATATAGAAATCAGCGGGATAGAGTCTTATCAGTGATGGAGTCTCCCAACGAGGCCATATTAGGAGCTCCGTGCATGCAGTGCCGTGATTAATCATAGGTATCCTCAAGCAGCCAGGGGACCACAATTCAATCTTTAAATAGACATGGGGAGGAATTCCTTTGTCATCATCCCTTAAGTGTGCTTGTGTTGCAGGAACAATACATGTCGTACCGAACAGAGGCATCCTCATTTAAGACAGGCAGAACTAGCACAGGGTGAAGAATGTTTAAATGTATTTAAATGTTGTGTCAATTACACAGATCCTGCAGGGGTCTAAAAACTCTTACCAAAAATGTATTTTAGTAAAACCTTAAGATGTATATATATTCATCATAGGACACATACTAACAAAAAGCTGTTCTTTCTGCACATCACTGTTATACATGGTGATTAAATAAAATTAGATAAAAAATACAAAGATCAAGAAATCCTTATTAAGGCCCTGCCCACACATACATGAGATTTTCAAAAAAGTTTTGTCCTGTCATCAACTTTTCTAGAATATTTTAGACTTTTTGGATGAACTCTTGTACTTGGCGTGCTCTTAGTAGTGCTATCCTGTTTTTTAATAAAAAAGGAATTAGAAACCCCCCCTGTTTTAAAACCCCCTATGTATGTCTGTGTCAGTGTAGTGTAAGACAAGTAGATGACAACACTGAATTTATCTTTTTTTTTTTTTTTTGGTAAAATTCAGAGTGGAGGCGATTTAAGTGAGTTATTATGTATCAGTTTTGTTTGTTTGTGTATTTTTTGAATAATTTAATCTGATATGATCAGAAATAAGTGAGTTACAGATTGAAACGTAAGTAAGTCAGCTTGAAACCCAAGGTAGTTGTAGTGTCTCAAACCCAACTATAAACTAGGTGTGAAAAAAATCATTTAAATAAAAATAATAATAAGTAGTAATAGTAACTAATAATAATAACTTTAACAATGAAAACTAACTGAAGCAAAATTTTGTACTTACGAAGGTAATTTAGCAATTTAAAACAATTATTATAAAAAATGCTTTGCGTGTAGTTTGTAGTATCTGCTATAAAACTAGCAAAACAAATATGTGATGCAGCCAGAAGTAGTTTTTATGTTTTATCTATTTTTCTAAAGATTGTGCAAATTTACAAAAACACCCTTAGATAACAATAATTACGAAACCCACCAAAAACAAACGCTAACTGCAACAAAAACTAAAAACTGAAACAACAGTGGAAACAGAAATGAGAAAAAATGTGAAAATAACCCCAAATAAAGCCTTAGTGAAAAATGTGTAACCATGTAATCCCTGCTTAGAGCAAAAAAGCATCCTTTGAATATTTTCCCATCCCAAGGATGTTGCTGAAACACAAAAGACGGCACACAACGTATCTGGGGAGATATTTTAGAGAAGTACGTTATGTATGGTTCTCAATTACTCTAGGAGCTTAGGGAGAGGCATCGTATTGTGTGTAGTTATCACAGAATGAGCATTGTGGTAACAAAAACAGACATCACATACTGAGTAAGTCGGTCTAAATAAAGAGCATAAGCATTTGAGCTCAACTAGGCGACAAGTGCGGAGTAACACAGACAGAGGTCTGCCACAGGTGACATGCTTGAGATTCATTGAAAGGCAATGATGACACCAGAGGCCTCAGCATCGCACTGAATCGGTCGTGTTGTGCAAAGGTTACTGTAAAAGGCACCTCCCATTATCAGGCAGCAGCTAGCAAAAGCTGGCCCCACGGTTACAGCCCCGTTTAAATGGCATTGTAACTTTGAGGACAAAGATAACTGTGTGAAATTCCTGCCGAGAATGCGGCACTTGATCGAGAAGAACAGCCACGGCTTTCAGGGTGCTGCTATTGCTTGCAGCCAGGATCAACTGTAGCAGATGATGGTCTCACACTGATCTCAGTCTCACATAAATCTCCTGAGAGTGACAGATATTATCCCACAGCCTATCAAGTGAGAATGTCCCTGCTTCTTTGTGGAGTCGGAGCTTAACTGCCTTCAACATTGTAGCACGATTTACTTTAGGTCATAATAATGATATGATATGTACAATAACAAAGAAACAAAGAATGCATTAAAACTCTGTTAAGTATAAGACCTACTGATATATAGTCCCATTAAATGTCATCTGTATAACTTTAACAATATAATACTGTTTAATAATGTGCAACTTACACACATGCATACATTATGCATAGCACTCATCACAGCCAGCCACTAGCACCAGTAATAACAGCTCCTTGAAAGGTTAAGAGATAAAAGGAGGGTCAACAGCTGCTGACAAGAGCTGAGATTATTTCCATTCTGATAACTTCCCCGGCCCTCTTATTGACAGCTGGCATCAGCTGGAAGTGAGCGATTCCATGCCCTGCTAAAGAGCAAGTGGAGATAACATCAACCTAAAGGTCAAACGTCACTGAAATATTTCTTTATGTCACAATAAATACACATTGTCACCACATACACTTAATTAAATACAAGGTTGGCCTTGGGCCCAGAGGCCCTCCACACGACAGGCAGCTATTGTTACAAACTGTATCTATGATTTTTTAAAAGAAAAAAGCCCACTTACATAAAAACAATGTTTTTAATGTGCTTTACTCTGTATTTCACTGTAGAGTATTTATAAAAGTGCTGTGTAAATAAAGTTATCACTGCCATTGTGGGTTAGTTTTGCAGTCTGACTAGATCTGGAACCAGGAATGTTTGGAAGAATTTCAACAATGAAAGATCAGATGAAATTAGAAGATTAAAAAATGAGAAGATTCTATTGAGAACTTCAAGGTACAGTCTAATATATGGCTTCATATGTGGTCTAATTACAGAAGCAGGGAATTGCTGTGTCATTCATGGCTTGTTTTATTCACTCGAGCGTGAGCGCCAATATCTTGTTAATGACACTGATAATCTTCAGCGCATGCTGTGCTGTATGTGGTGTGAGCAGAGGTGTGAATGTGCTTTCATTAGCTCATAGACAAACTTCTGTACCTGTGAGCCCAAACAAGGAGTTAAAGATATGGGATGTAATAAGAGAAGACAAAGGGCTCCCTAAATTTCACACAAAGGGATTCTGGAGCCTCCCTCTCCTCCCTCCTCCTCTCCTGCCTCATATCAATATTTAGTCTCCAGCGGAAACAACAACCACTAAGACCTGACAGCAGCACCAAGGCAAAGCTCTAGACAGGTAAGATTAGCAGTTTCTGTAAATGATAAAAGCAATGGTGCCTCTACACCATTGCAACTATTAGGGATCAGAAACAGCTGCATTTTCAAATATTATGTTCAAGACACTGTAAAAAAAAATACATTAATTGATTAAAAAGTAAATAAACCAACAGAGTCGAACCTGCTAGATTAAGCATGAAGATCCTGACATGCAGTTTGTATTGCATCCCATTGTGTTTATCTTTCTGTCGATGTTTGCTTGTTAATCCTCTGGAATTCTCCCCAGGCCTTTGGAACAGACAGACCTGGGCGGGGATTCACTGACCAGCTGCAAGTGATTACAGGCGGTATTACAGTAGGTCCAAGTATGAGCACTGGTTTATGTTTGACCTTGAGGTCCAGGCTCTTGGGCTTTCTTGACCTCTATTTTAAGAACATGAATTTTGTTTTTTCTCTCGCCTCTTTTAGTTATCATCACTATCTCACTATTTAACTTTTCTATTCTTTCCTACTTCTTCACTCGACTTCTAATTTTCCCATTTAGGCCTAGAGCTTGATATATGCCAGTGCTTTCAATTTTACACCATAGCACATGTGTTAGCGTGACATAAAGCTTTCCAGTAAAGAACTACAGACCTACATTACTTGCTTTTAATGCTATTGCAGTAGCCAATATTTTGCTGTTTCCTTGTTTTCACAGCGCTGACAGAATCTGTTCTGAAGCCTGTCCTTATCGCATTTTATTAAAAGTGATTATTGTTCATGGTGTATTCCCCTCAGCATGGTCTGGTCACTTTTACTATTATAGATTTAACTGAACACTTGTCTGCATTTGTAATTGTACACTGGTGTGCTCTAATCCAGTGTACAATTACAAATGCAGACAACAAAGCTGAGAAGTCGAGATTAACTCATCCCCAACCACACCCAGGTGCTTTCAGCTGTTGGACTGACCCGAAGCAATTCTCCCATTTATCATTTATCATATATCTATCTACAGTAGCTTGTGAAGCCTTGTGGATGGACCTGTGTCTAGAATCCAACTGGGATGTGTCATGAAACCTAAATGTGTTAACTACCAGCCACTATCCCATACCTGACTCATGGTTTATGTTATGATCTACTTCAAAGATACTTATTTACTGTAAATGCGAGTGATGTATTTGACATCAATATTTTTTAGCATCTAGAACATTGTAGCTGCATTTTAATAGGTATATCTAAAATTGTATGTTTTTAACTACCAGTTAATACAGTATAATCCATGTACTACTGCATTATATTGCATGTGTTAGAGGTCATTCAAGTCTTGTACAATTTGTCATGAACCCACTTTGAGAAAAACAGAACGAATACAATGTTGTGCAACAGCTTAATGAGATTTTATTAGCACTGCAGGTTGTAAATAGTGATAGTTGAGGGGATCTATAACACACAGCAGACAAAGGGGTTTCTGTTGACTCCAAAGCTTCACTCCTCATCAAACCCTTTCTGTAGCAGCCGGGGGAGGTTGGAAAAGAAGAAGAGAAACAGCTGTCAGGGCTCCAGATTAGTGCAGCTTTAGTGCAACAAAGCAACTATATATATATATAATTACAAAGTGATATCAACTGACAGAACACATACTCTATCTGTGCTAAAGAACGAACAGCAGAGCAGCAAAAGAGTTAAATGCAGCCACTAGAGGGCAGCACGTGTCAGGGTCAGTGCATGTGTCAAACCTTGGATCCGACATCGCGGCTCTTGGCACGAAGCTTGTTGACC